CCCACCCGGCGGGGTTCCGGATCCAACAAGGGCTACTTGCCTGCCTGCCTGAGACGGATCCTCCAATTCCGCCAAATCCTACCAACAATCAACGATCATCCGCTTTGTTGACCTGGTCACCTAGTTCAATTCCGTCCATCGTGAATCCCTATTGGGGATAATGGCACTATATGATGAAACACTAAAAATCATCGCCATGGCCAAGACCTACTACGGTTCCACCAAACGAGTTCTGGTCCATAAACGTGCTCAAATAAAGGCAGGAAGTGGATCGAACCCCGAGTAAGTACAAGTAAGTGAAAGCAAAATGTGGTAGAGGCATATGAAAGAGTAGACTGGTTTAGATGCCCGAATGCAAATACTGAAAGAAAAATCTGCAAGGAGGTCGAAAAGTCTGAGTTTATGTATTTTTCTTCGTGGAACTAAAATATGTAATTCCATTAAAAATAATATTTTAAAACTAATTTTAACGAAATATCAACACAAGAGGCACCCGACTCGGAGACCAAAATTACTTAACCAAGTTACATTCCCCATCAGATCATGTGTCAGGCTTAACCAGGTGTCAAAATGCTGAAATGTCAAACATTCCAGCACAGTTAGACCTACAAATACATTGTCAAATCATACCTTCAGTTGGCGAGAAATAACGGTTGATAAATCGGAGGCAGCTGTGCACAGATAGTCGAGCATTTGGGCGTTCGTCTTTGCATTGGCTTGAGCTATGAGTAAGACTAGCCGAACGGAGAGACTGCGAGCTTGTTCCGTAGTCTTTGCGGCAACAACCAGTTCACAGAGGCATTCAATCACAGCAGGCTGTGGGCATAGCATAAGATCGGGGACTGGCTTCTTGGGAACACTCTCTGGAGCATCACTACCGACGGCAGACGACGAGGCCACTGAATCACCAACATGCTGACTGGAAGACGCTTCCTGGAAGAAATAAGAGGGGAGAATGGAGAGAAGCTTGAGATGTAAAAAGCCCCATTTGTACAAGTAACAGCCAAGTATTGAAGACGTAGGAGAGGAGGGGGTAAGACTGAGGAAAAAAACAAAGCCAACAATAGCTTCATGAAAACCCGCATTATCGAGCTACAGTACACTTATTCGCTTTCCTCTCAGCTGCAGGCTGTAATCGCTGCAACCAAACATCAGTTAAGGGAAAGGAGGGGTTGTAGCTCTTACGAAAGTGCATTAGAAAAGGGACCTGTCTCTAAAACAGGAAGGGGTATAATAGGGAAACTAACGGAAATGGCTGCTCCGGCTGTCGTGTTGGCAGGCTCCATATTTCCGCGGGTAATGAGGGGTGCTGTAGTGGCGGACGGCTGATGAAGGGCACGAATTCTCTTGCAGAACTCTCGAACAACACCCACGAGGATACTCAACAATTTCTCTTGCAGTGGGGGCCGACAGCTGATCACCGGGTGCCGCAGGAGGCTGGCGAGTTGCGAAAAATAATCAAAACAGCATACATCCGTATCGGCGTCCACAGACGTTGAAGAGTTCCTTTTGTGTTTGGCGTTTGCACTATTCTCCAAAAGGGTTGTGTTCGCGGGAGCTAAAAGTTCAGGAGAAACAACTGCTAGAAGTTGTCATCGAAAAAAAACGTAGTTTCAAGAAAACGCAAAAGTACAGTCAGTGGATTGCAGATGATTTCTGGATCGCGTGACGGGGGGATGGGCTCTGCGACCAGATCCACTGACAGCCGGTGTTCGGGGCTTCCGCTGACTATGACGATTGAGAGAGGAGGAAGCTGAAGGGCTGACGGAGGTTGCAGGCTTCTGCGACTGTTCGATATTGCAGAGCGATGGAGGCGCACTGTTGAGTCGGGTCAGGATTACCCAGAAATCTGTCTGCGGTTCTGAAACAGGAAAGTAATAAAGCAAAGCTCGTAAACACAGAAAGCAACAGTTTGACAGTTTTTCTCCAAAGAAGTAAACAAGCAAGAATGTGGCTGACAAAAAGACGTAATATTTTTGGAAAAAAGGCGAAATCACCGAAGATTCTCACCTGCCTCTCGTTTCCCTTAGAGTAGTGAATTCCGACCAAGCTAGGTCGGGATTACAGTTCGTATCAATGTTAGGAGCTTCCTTACAAACCGATCTCAAACTTGCTTCAGGCTAAATTGGGCAAGCACATGCGCAAATAAACGATTTAAACGGTAATCCTAAATGCGGACTGTACCAGTCGTGAACCTAGTAAGTATGACAGGCGGGAAGGGGCAAAAGGTCACCTCAATCATTGAGCGCCTGCCTATGTCTACTACTTGTTACCTAGTGTTATCAATGAAACGCAAGACAGGTGTGAGATGAGTGAGGAAGAAATCACAAGAGTCCCCGTCGCTATATTTAGAATGACAGTCATCCACATTCAAACTAATGAGGGGGGGACCATCTTTCGGCATGACGATGATGAGAAATGTGTTGAACTCAGTGAGACAGAAAGAATCACAAGGATTGGGCATGCTAAAACGGGAGACGATGAGAAACTGGTGCAGATGGATAAATAAAACTGACTAGACTTAGAGTCGACGTCAAACAATGAATGCACTTGATGCAACCTAATAGTACAGTCCACAGCGAGCCCTTGAAGGAGTAAATAGATGTATTGTAAAAACTCCAGCTGCAAAGGCAGTTGAGAAAAAGTTCAGTCAAGGTTCAGGAAGGTTGCAACCACAAAACAGGCGATCATACACCTATCTAGCAAAAAACACAAGAAGCAGGGTGCCACAGAAGAAAGGTAGAGTATGATAAGGGGAGGATTCTGTTTAAGGTGAAGTATCATCAACGGATGTTCAAAGACAAACACTCGTGGCTGAACGTCCTGGATGACAGGGTTTAAACATCATATTTCGGTTTTTTACCAAACAAATAATCTCCTACTCTCTTAATCTTCATTGGGTTTATGCACTAATCGGACAGACGGTTCGGTTTCGAATATGTCCGCTGCGTGCTTCACAGCAGGCTCTGTAGGCAAGCGCAGTGAATTAGGTGCAAATAAGATTGGAGTGAGAGAGTAGACTTGTGCTGCAACAAACGGCAATAGAAGTTGAACAGTAGAAGTTGACTATACATGCAACACCACATGGAGGTAATAAGGATGACAGTTCTGCTTGCGTCGCTGATAGTCAAGATTTTCAGGTGTTCAAAACAATAGGATAATAGTCCAATCTAGTAGTGCACGAAACACAATAATGGGACATGGTATCAACTGCATCCTGCCACTATTTGGTGCTTAAGGGATAAAACAACCACAGGATCATACAGCAGGGGCATGTTAGGATCACTAAAAAGGAAGCAAACTAAAGAAAGGGCTCATGAGAACAAGGGAAACTGGGGAACGTTAATCAACAAGGGAGCAATGTAAAAGTACTGTGGAAGAACCACCAAGGAAGCCGCTAAGATTCCAGCCACAATACTAATTTAACTATTCCGGACAGACGTAATAGACATAAATAGATAAGAAGGAAGTGATCGATTAAAAAAAACTACCACCAAATTAAGTAAAAACACCAATTGGCATGATATTAATAGAAGATATTGTCAGATATCACAATATAAAGGTTACGATTCCAAGGTAAATCAAAATACTTCAGTCTGCAGCCCAAACAGACACACAGATGTTACAAGGTTAGAATTCTTACCTAAAAACAAGATTTTGAAAGAAAGATGTGACAATTGGTATTTCGGTGGACGGGCGACAAAGAGCTTGTTAATATACTAGAGTGGTGCGCAATTTACGCATTGAGTATCAAGTTTGACATCGGTCGTAAATCTCCAATCAACGGATATTTTGTCTTACGAACATAGAATAAGAATAGATTGAGTTAATAATTGGCTCCGCAACGTTCCTGATATACACGGCGAAACATTGGTTGATCTTTGAGATAGTAGTTTCGGTTGAAGCAGATTAAAAACTAATCGGCACTTATGTGTCTGTACTTGTAATCGGTACGAATGTGATCGTGCATGATCTTGCCAGTTTGGATTATGTACACGCATGATGATTTGCGCCAAGGAGTCTGCACTGCTCAACCCAATTTATATACTTCCAAAGTCATGTTCGCTGTGTGAATATTATGTAGTTGAATTTCAGCCCAAATACATCCACGTGTATACCGAACCTAATGGGAGGAGGAGGGGAGCTTTGTGCCGAAGCATGTGCTACAAGATTTGCCATTAATTCATGAGGAAAGTAAAAGGAGTTTAAATCAATATCTCTGAGTAGTTTTAGTCTAAAGCAGTCAGTCTCGAAAAAAAATCAGTGAACAAAGATTAGTATTCCGAACGTCACAAAAAATCACCAGAAATAATGTGTGCATCTTTCGCCTTTAAACTACAACCACCGTTCGTCAATGTCGAATGAAACAGAGATCTAAGCAGATTCTTCTGGTTCTGGTTTAATGTACTAGACGACAAGGTGTTACTCACTGGACAGGAAACACCCTAAAAATTGCCACATAAGCAGGTGATCTCAAAACAGGGCAGCAACTTTCATATGCGAGATACGGCCATCTAAACGTTACAACATGAAATAAACACATTTATAAGGGCCTACCGGGCACATCTTGCGAACCGTCCGGAGTCTGGGTGGTCTCGGAAGTAGATTCTTGGCATTGCGAGGCAGACGGTGCCAGGGGAAAGAACTGAGGAGGACAGTTTCGCGCGAGGTCGGCGATGGCATCGAGGAGTGTAGAACAAACTAGATTAACAGCCTGAGGGTGGACAATATAGACAACATCGGTCGACACCGGCTTGGAGGTTGAGGACCCAGGCACAGACTCGTCTGCTGCTGACAGCGGAGCTGGGAGAGGATGGAAAATGCGCACCCAGCAACCCAGCGCTGCTTCGAAACCAGCGGCGAAAAGAGAGTTTGCCATTGGTCCACGCAGAGATGACTGCGTCAAAGAAGAGAAGCGGGAACCACCGGTAGTGAGGTCTGGGAGCAAGGGATTCTCAGAAAGGCGTTTCATTAGGGACAAAATTGTGCAGATAACCCAATTCCGAATGCCCGGTTGTGATGCCAGATTTCGAAGAACCTTCAGAGGTAAAATGCGATAGAAGTAATATAACGGTGGGAAATAAAGGATAAAGTTA